ATGACACAAATGGCCAATGCATTGAATATCTGATTACAAGTGGGATGCATTGCAACTTCAGATGTCCTTTAATGGAGATGCACATACAGCTGATGTGTATATGGTGGGAGTGATGGTGTAGGAAGTGTGATGAGCTTCACTCACTCCGTGTGCCGACTGTATCGTTCGTGTCAGGTTGAGTCCCTTCCACACGTAAATATCTCCATTAAGAGCTCCCGAATACGTCACTTCATCTTTTGCCGTCGCCAAGCACAGGATGGTTTGCAAGTCTCCCGTCTTTCCGAAAATCCCTCGTTTTGGCGTCAACGCATTGCCACATAACGCCCAAAACTGTGAGACGAAAGAGAAAACCTAAACATCAACTACTTTGCTCATGCAAATCTTTTCTATCCGCAAATTTAAAATATTGTGCAAGCATAACCTATTTTTAGAGCTTGACATCTATGCATTTACATTTGAACTAAATGGAAAGTCATACAGATTGACTAAATCAGACAGAATTTGATTTTTGGCTGAACTGTTCCTTTAAATGAAGTCTATGAAAAAGCATTAAAATGCAGTAAAAACAACAAAGGAAAGGAGCAATAAATTACGGCATGTTTTATGTGTTTCCGAGAGCGGGTTCAATGGACTTTGTCTCAGAGGTGTGACTCACTTTAATGTGCTTGACTCCGCAGCTCACCAGCCTGTGCTGCAGAAACGGGTCCCAGGAAATATCAAAGATCTGCAACGCAGCACAAACAGGTGGACTAACCATGTCAACACTTCCACAACATCTAGCACCAAAACCGATTACACTGAATTAATCACAACTCTCTAAAATTATACACAATGCAAAATATAATGGACATTATAATGCAAAGACCTGCATCATGTTTGCTGAATAAAATCCAATACTTGTTTCTAACTAATTTTGAGGTGCTGATTCCAAAAATAGTGTCCGATTTGCTCAAACACGTCACACTTTCTCATGCATTTTCGATGCATTTCGTAGCATTTTTGCTTTCAACAACCATTTGTAAGGTGAAGAAGTCTCATATTATCCCTTATTTAGCAGAAAAACACCACAAAGACACGATTCCTGTCTGAATCTGAGCCACATTACAGCTGTTTGTTCAATTCACAGCTTTCAGTTTTCACATGTATGAATGATTCTGAAGACATTATTTTATGCATAATCCTGATTTTCACTTTTTTCCCTGCTTTGCAGACTGCAAGTTAAATGATCAATTTTAAAACCTTTTTAGAAACATTTGATATTTTACGGCTTTTGTCATTTTGTGTACAAATTATATAATTATGCATTAAAACTTGCATGATGGAAAAATGCATGATGGAAAGTTTTTATTGTTGATTTCAAACTCAGCAGTGTTATAAGTATAATTGAGAAACTAGTACAGTTTTTTTAATTAATATTTCCCATAAGAATTAAAATATTTTTATTTTTACATTTTACACTTTAATCAGAATTTTTGTTAAAGTTTGTAGTGACTTTGTAGTGTGTTTTGTCATTTATAATATTTCTACATGGCTTTTATTTAAGTTTTGGTTATATTAGTACATCGCTAGCTGAAATAAAACAAGTGTAATATTAGGCTTTTTTGTCTTTGCAAATCAGCTGAATTTTTTTTCAAGATCCAGAGCTGTGTAATTATAGTCATGCTTGCTAAT